CGGCCACCCTGATTTATGGCAGATGGGGGCCCCCCAAGGGTCTTTAAACCTCCAAGCCTAGATGTGTTTTGTACCAGGGCAGGAGGACAGGCGAGGTGTGGGAGGAGTGTGCCTTGTTCTAAACACACCCAGGTTATGAGAAAATTAGTTTCTTCTCTGCCCCTAACTCTACATGCATCAGAGTACATCGGGCCTCCCCCTGGGCCTGCAGCCTCCTGCCTGGGCCTGCAGCCTCCTCTGTACAATGAGAGGGTGGCAGGTGTCATGTCTAAGTTACCTTCAAGCTCAAACATTACAGAAACTCTAGGCTGGGGAAACGAGTTCTATTAGACAGCTCGGGTTGCTGTAGCAAATGCCACAGACAGGATGGCTTAAACAACAGATACTCATTTTCTCACAGCTCTGGAAGTAAAGGCCTCCTTGGCCATCTTCTCTCTGTTGTCTTCACGTGCCCTTTCCTTTGCCTGTGTCCTAATCTCTTCCTTTAAGGATAGTCCTATTGGATTAAGGTCCATCCATATCATCTCATTTAACCTTAATCATCACTTTAAAGCCCTATCTGCAAGTACAGTCACATTCTGGGGATTAGGACATCAACATATGAATTTTGAGGAGGCATAATTTAGTCCATAACACAGATAGAAAATACCTCTCATTTCATAAAAGAAGTTGCAGCCTCAGCCCTTTAACAGTGAGCTCCCTAGTACATTTTAAAAGAGAATTTGCATCCTGGTCAGCGTGGCTCAGTTGGTTGAGCATGTCCTGTGCATTGAAGGTCACTGGTTTGATTCCCGGTCAAGGCACAGGGCCAGGATGCATGCTTGATCCCCAGTCAGGGGTGCATGTAGGATGCAGCTGATTGATGTTTCTCTCTCACGTCAATGTTTCTCTCTCCCTCTCCCTTCATCTCTTGCTAAAAATAAAAATTAAAAATAAATTTAAAAATAAAATATATATATATTTTAATAAAAAAGAGAGAATTTGACTTTCATCTTTCCTCCAGGTCTACATCAATGGCCTAACAAGGCCTGTCTGTCTGCAGTCTAATATTAGAAGCCAGAAATAATATTTCTACTAGCCACTTACTGGGTACCAATGTGTCAGGCTGGTGGAGGTACTGCAGACTCTGCCCTTGGGCCAGCATCTCGGGAGAGTAAATGTGCCTGGTTAGAATAAGAAGAGCTCAGGCTTCTGAGTCAGATCCCAGCACAGCTATCACCAGCTAGGGGCCTTAGACAAGAGGCCCCTGTGAGCCTTGGTTTCATCCTCTGGGGAATGGGACTGTGGTTTTGCAGCAGACGTCCTGGCCCACACCGTCTCTGGCATGCAGGCCACCCTTCCCACTGCCAGCACCTGCATCTCTGCTCAAGGTGCAGAAAGGGCTGGCTGGCAGCAGGGACCCACTCTGCACTCAGCTCCTCAGCCCAGGAGGCCAGAAGAGCCCCAGAATCCAAGACTCCTGGAGCAGCCCTTAACCAGTGCCCAGTGGGAGTTGGCTTAAGAGGAGCAACTCCAAGATACATTTGTACACCTTCCCAGTCCCACTCACTTCCCCACTCCCTGGCTTCCCCTCCTGAAAAAAGGCCTCTCGCTTACGCTCCTGTCTCCGGCTCTGCTCCCTCACAGGGCAAGACCGCATAAGGTCTCGCTTGTATATTCACCACTCACCGTTTTGTGCGTAGTGGTGAAAAGAACATCACATTTGTAACACTTTCAGGTCAGAAATGTTGATCTCTGCTGTCCTCTGATCCCCTAAAGGGCTGTGGGTCACTGGCTTCCACCTGCTTCTCTTTAAGCCCCCAGAGGTGTTTCAGGCTCTCTGAACAACCCCAGCGAAACTCCAGCCCTGACCCAGCTCCCTACCCTGTCATTTGGCCCCTGTGCCGAAGTGGGGTTGGTGCAGAAGAAACAGCTGGTTATGGCCCAGAGGGACCTTATTTGCATCTTAGCAGCCTCACCTGTTCTCTGACATCCAGGAAGACCCAGCAGTGCGGTTTCCATGGCCTCTTCCCCTCTTTGCACAATCTAGACATGGAGACAAGCTGACATTGCTAAGCACAAACCTGCCTTCCATTCCCTTCTCCACCCCAGACCCCCACTCCCTTCCCAGCCTCCAAGTGACATCCACAGTCTGGGTCCCTCCCTCCCTCCTTCCAAGAAAAGATGAGCTATCACAAGTATAGTGAATTTGCAATTTCCTAAGGAGGCTGGAGACACAAAGCTTAGACAAGGGAGTGGGCTTTTAGGCATTTGGCAGCAGGACACCCCAGGGGGTTGTTCAAGTGCAGAAGGAACAGCACTCTGCCCGAGGGCAGGTCTATTGGGGTGGGCAGGCCAGACCATCAGTGAGGATTCTGCAGTGTGCTCGCAAAGGGTCCAGACAATTGCTCTTCTCTGGCCTATACCCCCAAGATTAAACCCAGGCCATATATGTCTGATTCCAAACAGCATGGCTTGTCATAGAGTTGAGCCTCAGAATAGAAGCAGGGATGGGAATGGAAGAAAATAAACCAACCCTCCCCCTAACTTTAGCCTTGGGGCTGGGAGAAGCCACAGAAGCACGGCCTCCTCTGACCCTTCCCTTGCCTCTCACTCTGTCCACTGGGCTGGAACCTGTCTGCTGGGCCCACCAGTGCCCCCTGTGTGTCATCTCCTGGCCAGCAGGACTCTGGTGGCAATGGCCAGAGAGCCGAGCCAACCCCAGGCAGCTCCCTGACCCTGGCCCTGCTCAGAGGACAAGGCTGAACTGATTCTGTCAGGGAGAGTTAGACTTATCTCCTGGGCTGGTGCAACTCGACCTGATGAGACAAATGCATTCGGACAGCCTCAATCCGGAGCCCTATCTGTCATACATGCCAGTCACCTCTCGGCAGGCAGTGCTCCCCCAGAAAGACCCTGCAGGCTCCATCCATCCTGTATCGAGACGGCTGGCATCAGAGCCTGAGGATCCAGGGAAGAAACCAGAGGGAGCAGGTGTCTGCAAACCGGGGCCCCTGGGAGAAATGTGTCAGGACCGGCTAGGTCCAGGCCCTTGCGGGGAGGCCAACAGCCAGCACCTTCTTGATGCCCCAGGTGGTGGCTCACCGGGCACCTGATTCCAGATGATCACAGCAGCACAAGCCCTGCCTGTGTTGGCCCACCTGAGAGCTGCCAGGTAGGTGGGCGAGGGAGAGCTGATGACTGGGTGAGTATGCGAAGGACTCTAGCTTGATTCCAGAGGAGGCTCCTGCCTCACCACCCCCTCCTAGACTCCACATGCTCCTGTACATACCAGCTGCGAGGCAGCCAGTAGCAGGCAGGAGTAAGCAGGGAAGAATCCACAGGCCTCCAAGCCTCTCCCCAGGGTCAGCTTGCAGTGGGCAATTCTAGGAAGCCGGGCCCCTCCCCAGCCCTCAGCCCCTGAGCAACTGTGGGCAGTCATTCCCTCACCCCTGACTTCCCATGGCCCTCCCAGGTAAATGCAAGAACCAAGAACTTCACTGAGGTGACGGAATCCCACTAATAGGAATTTCCATGTATCAAGTCATCTTGGGGGCACAAAAATTCAGAGCATCACCCGCTTCACCAGACAAAGTGGATTTCTCATCAATAACCCAGGTAGTTGGAGGCTGCGGCCTGAATGTGGTGGATCTGAATAACAGGTGTTATGGGCCGAATGGACCCACCCCAAATTCAGGTGTTGGAACCCTGCCCCCAGTGTGATGATATTAGGAGGCGGGGTCTTTGGGAGGGGGCTGGCATTACATGAGGTCATGAGAGTGGGGCCCCCGCGAATGGGTTTAATGTCCCTGGGAGGAGTCACTGGAGAGTTTGCTGCCTCTCTGCTCTCATCACGTGAAGACATAATGAGAGGTGAGCCGCCTGCAGCCGGAAGGGCTTTCTCCAGATACAGGATCTGCCAGCAGCTTGATGGCGGACTTCCCAGCCTCCAGAGCTGTGGGAAAGGCGTCCTGCTGTCTGTAAGCCACCGGTTATGTTATTCTCTTACTGCAGCCTGAGCTGGCGAGGGCAGCGAGTTAGAGGATGGAAATGGGGCTCCCAGCACAATCATTGCTGGCCCCGCCTGGCCTTTCGTGCTCTGTGTGACGTTGGGCAGGTGCTGAGCCTCTCTGAGACTCATCTGCCTCCTGTTTGTTTTGCCCAAAAGGTGATTTGGGAGCAGCTGTAGCCACCCTTCCTAATGCCACCTCTCAGGCACTCATTTAAGGGTCACCTGCTCTATGCCTGGGATTTTTCTAGGTTCTTGGAATACAGTGAAGAAAGCAGACAAGAAGTCCTGCCCTCAGAGAACTCACACTGAGTGGGTGTGCCCCAAACACTCTCCTTCCTCTCCATAAAGCACTTTGAACATCAAAGCTCCTCTGAACTTCCCACGAGGGCTACCTCTCAGTGTGACACCTTCCTTAGGCTACACCTGCTGCATAGGAGGCCTGACTTGGGAAAGAGCCAGAGCAATAGAAAAGGGACAGGATGTAGGTGCAGATGGCAGGCCCCCAGCAGGCCAATGGCAGGACATACCAGGGTTCAGGGCCTGCCACTGTCCTGCCATGCCAGGGCACTTGTCCATCAGCCCATAGGCACTAGACAGCCTTGGGGCCTTTCTTGAGCCCTTTTAAGAAATACTTCCTCCACAGGTAGACCCTCCAAGGTTGGCCCTGAAGGTGGCTCTGAGATAGGAGGGTGCTGCTCCCACCCCAAGGCCTTACTTCTATCCTTTTCTCCCACAATTGCTTTGATATCAACAGCCCCCCACCATGAGGCCTTTGGTGCTGCTCCCCCCTGTGAAAATTGGCCAAAGAGTGGACTCAGGACCTTTCCCCCAAAGGGGGGTTAAGCTTTCTGGTGTGGCTATGAAATCGTGGCTTTCATGTGGCTTTCTTTCTGCCAACTTCTTGGCCACTGGAAGGGCCTGCCCAGCCTACCCCCATCACTGGGCACTACCAGAAGCCACCAATCCAGACTCCAGAAGAGCAAGCCAGCCTTTCTCTCCTCCCACCTACCTGAGGCCATCCTCGCATGTATGGCTTACTGGCAGGGACACTGGGGGTGGGGGTAGCTCCCTTCCAGAAGCCCCGTCCTCTGTCAACAAGTCAGTGCCCCCCCTGCTAGGCCACAACACAGAGATAAGAGGCTCAAGGTAACATAACAGCCCCACGCCCAGTCGGGAAGGAAGCCACGCAACAAACAGCTGGAGCAGGTGCAGCAGGGAGCTGAGCAAGTTCATCAGGTGGTTTGAGAGTCGGCTGAGCAGAAGCCTGGCCTGAAGCTTCCCCACCTGCGCCACCCGCCTGCGCTGCCCAGGGAGCTCTGCTCCCCAGGGCCCCCAGCTCCCCAGAAGGAAGCTTTAGTAGCTGTTTTCTCAAGAAGCCCAGTGTGCGTGCAATGTTTCCTGATAAAATGCAAAGGCTGTCACAGGCACTCCAGCCCCCTCATTTAGCTCTGAGGTGTAATTAATACATAAATTAAGCTCCTGCAGATTCACAAATGCCCAGGAAAAAAAAAGGAAAACATAATTAGTTCACCCATATGACTCCGTCAGCTCTGAGCTCAGGGCCACGCAGCAAATCCCGAGGGCTTTGGCCTCATTGGCAGTGCCAGGCACTGCTCCTGCCCTGCTCTGGGGAAGGGCTCTTCGTGGTAGCTGCAGGGAGCTGGGGACTCTGGACACGGGCATCCCGGTGGGCAGAGGGCTCTGGAGCACCTGCACTGCAGGTGAGGGGTAAGGGAGGGCATCCAGGCACCTGCCCACGTGGGAGGACTGGGGAGGGCTGGGGGGCGCCACAGGAAATTTGCTTGTGCTTCCAGTCCTGACCTTCCCTGGGCAGAACTTGAAGAGGGGGAAGTGGGGAGCAGAGAACTGGAATGACTCTAAGACTCGCCTTCCTCCTCCACCTGTCATCTCTGTCACATACTATCTACGAGAGGAAAAAGGCTGGGAAGGAGACCAGGAATTGGAGGGAAAGGTGCCAGAGAGAAGGGAGGAGCCGGG